CCCAGAGTGCTGGGATTACAGGCATGAGCCACCACGCTTGGCCAAAGACAAGGAGAAATTTTTATTTTCTTCTCTTTACCTTCCTCATAGATCTGGGAAGTGAAGCTGATGTGGTAAGAATTCTTACCTTTTGCCACAGTTTTGTCAGTTATCCCCGATCTGAACTGCAATTTCTAAGGTGAATGGATGTCCTAGTCTCTTATTTTCCCTTCATCATTATCAGAAACTGTAGGAAAGGAAAATATTTTTTCTTTTCTAGGTTCTTCGCTGGGGCCCCTCTAAACAAAGACAGATTAACAGAGAAAAGCATACAAGTTTATTTAATATAAGTTTTATGTGACAAGAAGACTTCATAAGGAAGTGAGGACCAGAAGAAATGGTTAAACCTGAGTGTTTTTATAGTATGTTCAATGAAGAGTGGAAAGTTATAGGAAAATGTGATAGGACAAAGGGCTATGAGCCAAGGATAATAAACTGGGAGAAAACTTAAGTCCTTTCTGTTCAGATTCTTCTTAGCATCTCTCCATCTTTGCCAATTCCTCTAGCAACTCTCACAACCTTTTTCAGGGGAAAGCTGGAGGGTCCTCCCTCATCTACCTTTTCTCAAATTCCTTCAGCTTAAAATACTCAATATTGCAAAGTGCCATATTTTGTGGGAGTATGTCCTGAACTCTGTCACTAGAATCTAGGCAAGAGCTGGTGCGACCATTACCACCACCACTGCTGAAAAACACAGCAGGAGAAATAACTCATTCTACCCAACTGTAAACAAACCAGTATCGTCCATACTTCCCACACATTACTACTGATATCAAACCAATATTAATTTGTTCTGCCTACATGCAGCAAGCCAATCACTGTGACAACAGGTTTTACAAAAGAGGAAAGATTTTATTCCATCTCCTTACTCAGCAGTGAGGAGATCACTTTTAGAAGTACGTGATTAAAAGCAAGCAAAGTATATTAAATGTGGCAGGCTTAATCAGGTTAGGCCTCAGTTTCACTATCCCCCTATTCATTATTCCCCATAGCAGAGAATGAGCAGGGACAGTGACTTAAAAGGAATTAACTTTCCTTACAAATTTCTGGGATATTTGGTAGCAGAGAAAACTGGCCATAATAAAATCTTGAGCCTGTGTGGCCTTTACTTTATCTTGTAGGCACTGAAGTTTTGATTTTTGGGGTGAGCTTGTGCACACTAAAATAAAGGAAGTATTAACTCCTGTTCCAAACATTCTATTTCTCTAACCACAGCAAGAGATACCATAAAAGGGAAGAAAGGTTAATCAGGGTCCAGTCTCTTTGGTCTCTGCCATAGGAAAAATGGTTCAAGTGCCCTTCCTCTTCTGCCTTGTATTATTTGTCTGGCCCTAGATAACCCCAGAATTTGTCATATCTTTTCTTGATGGAAGTTCCTTGAGGGCTGGAGCATGCCTTTGTGATGGATCTCATAAAGCATCCAACACACTGAGGGCATTCTATTTAAATTAAAGAGCACACTGGTAATTGGGATAAGAATTAGCATTTTTCTTTCTCGCAGGGATTTCTCTGAAACAATCCCAGGAGATAACCTAAATTATATCCTAGTAAGCACAGGCATATTTTGCATGAGACTTAGATTATGTCATATTCCAGCTCACCCCCAACCCCACCTGACATTCAGGAGGCTCTGGGGGGAACTGAATTCAATTGTCTGTATTTAAAGATGTACTTTCTTGTATATTAACACGTTAAAGATTGATGCCAGTTCAGAAAGCACTTTCTAGAGACTTGGATAAGCAAGAAATCAGAGTTTGAATGAATATATCTTAATATTTGAAAGATAATATTTTAACACGATATTTGAGCCATGATAAAAAAACAAAAACAAAAACAAAAAAACTCCCCAGGGAGAAAGAATGCTTAAAAACTGTCTTTTTTCCAAAGATGTGTACATGTATATTCTAAAGTAACTCTTTACTGGCCAGAAATACTTTAACTGGAAAGTAAATTAGACTTTTAAGATGCTCGTATTTGAGTGATTGTAAAATTGTCCAGGCCAGGGCTTTGGAGTCAGATAAACCATGATGTTATTGTGGGATATCAGAAGATGACACCCCAAAATATGCAGGATAATTGAGCTGAAGGCACTTAGGAAGCAGATGCAGGAAAGCTCTTTGCCCATCCTCTATTTGCGTAAAAGCAGAACATAGATTTATAAAGACAAGAGGTATCTTGATGTTGTAGAAAAAACTGGGTTCTTGTCACATGACCAGGAAAGATGAGGCTCACAGACACTCTGAAGGGTGAGGGGAACAGAATTTATTGGGCAAAAAGGAAAAAACTCAGCAAAGCCAGAGGGGTTCCCTGGGACAAAGTTTATCTGGGCTCTGAGTGTGGGGTCAACTCTGGTTTTTCTTCCTAGGAATTACTCTTCTATTTTATAAGATTATAGGGAGGGACCCAAGACAATTGCATTTTGTTTTCTTTTTTCTTTTTTAAACCTCCCTGGGCAATCTAAAGACAATTGCATTCTTTCTGGAAGAACTCCTCTTAATCAAGTAAGGGAGCTTCAGGGAAAGCCCCTTCCTCTGTCTTTGAAGGGGCAGAGGGGCAAGAGACAAGGGCACTGGAGAAGGTTAGAGAACCTTGGCTCCATGGCTGCCTCCTTAGTTCTAAGTGCTCAGCATGTTCGTAGTAAGACAACCTTTGTTCCTGCACAACCCTGCCTCTCACCTTCCCTCCTCTCACCTTCCTGTAGTATTTGCCTTCTAGTGCCTTGTGATATGGGAGAGGAGCAGGGAAGTGCTGGGTAGAGAAAGCCAGGGTTCCTGACTAGGGCTCCACCCTTGGGCCTGTGCCCACGGACCTAAGTGAGGACAAGCAGTCTTGTTTTCATGCCCAAATGTTGCATTTTCCAAGACCACTGTGCCCCACCATGTCCCTGCCCCATCCTGTGCCCATAAAACCCCCAAGACCCTAGCAGGCACACACACAAGTGTATGGACATTGAGAGGAGCAGAGGAGCAGAAGAGCCCACTGACAGACACCAGCAGGTGCCAGCAGGCCATCGAGGTGGGATGACATGGAATTCATTCTGTCAGGGACAGTAGGAGGAGAGCCCAGCTGCTGAGTGGCCTGACTCCAGGGGAAGACCACCTTCCCACTCCACCCCTCTTCTGGTTATCCAGAGCTACTTCTCCAACTCAATAAAACCTTGCACTCATTCTCTAAGCCCACATGTGATCTGATTTTTCTGGTACACTAGGGCAAGAACTTGAGATATAGAAAGCCCTCTGTCCTTGTGACAAGGCAGAGGGTCTAATTGAGCTGATTAATATACAAGCCACCTACAGTTGGCAAAACTAAACGAGCGCACTCTAACACATACCCACTGGCGCTTCAGGAGCTGTAAACACTCAATCCTAGAGGCTGCCATGGGGTTGGAGCCCAAAAATGCTTTCCCTGACCTGCCCATCTGCATGCTCCCTCTATGGGTTTGAGCCACTCCCGTCAGGCACCCTGCAAGGGGGATAAGGGAACTCTACTCATTTCACTTGGTCCATTCATTCTCCCTAATGATTTACTGCCACTCAAAAGAATTGTCTACATTCCCTATCTCTTTCCCCCATATGAAAATGGGTATATAAGCTTCTATACTGCACTGGATTATTGAATAATTATCCTCTTGTGATCCCCCAATATTACCCATGTTATAACAATATTTTGTATGCCTTTTCTCCTATTTAAAAAAAATGTGTCAAAATAGCATACTTTGGGGTATCATTTTCTGACCCAACAGCATGAAAAATACAAGTTAATAAACTTCTTTTTTCTCTTGTTAATCTGTCTTTTGTTATAAGGATTTGTTCCAACTAAGAACTTATAAGGGGTGAAGAAAAAATATTTTTCTTCCCCTACATTGTCACAATAAATTAGATACACAAGGAGCTTGACAGGATGCCTGGCATGTAGGACCCAATAAATTGATTTTATTGATGAAGTCAACAGAAGTGTATCTGGCTTCTATGACCTCACCCTTGAGGGCTGGTGTCATGAACTTAACTCATGGGATTAATTAGATGAAAGAAAACCTTTTAAAGAGGTTCTGGCTAGTAATAAGCTGTAGTCATTTGACAGAAACAAAATAAAGGCAAAGACTTTGTCTTATTTACTCTTGTGTCTCCAGGGCCTAGACAACGTCCAGCATATAGAAGGCTGGACATTAAATACTTGTTGAATCAATGAGAGAACAAATAGCGGGATATTCAGCTCCCTCCCCAATATTTATAAGCACTTTGGGGAAGAAGGATGCTTCCATTTTCAGGGTGGTTGTCACTTACTCACTCTGAGCTCCAGCAAGTGGTCACCACCCCAGCCACTTTTCCTCTCATGAGTCTTGTTCACCAAGCAGGGACACTGACCTCTTTCTCTTCTAGTTCCTCTAACATCTCTAACACATGGCTAGTGTGTGAAACTGACATTTTGTCTTCTGTGTTATATTAGCTTGTTCTTACACTGCTATAAAGAACTACCTGTGACTGGGTAGTTTATTAAAAGAAAAGAGGTTCAATTGACTCACAGTTCCACAGGCTGTACAAGAAGCATGGCTGAGGAGGCCTCAGGAAACTTACGATTATGGTGGAAGGGGAAGGGGAAGCTGGCACATCCTTACATGGCTGGAAAAGGAGGAAGAGAGAGCAGGTGGGGTGGGGGTGCTACACACTTTTAAACAACCAGATCTTGTGAGAACTCACTATCACAAGAACAGCGAGGGAAAAATCCATCCCCATGATCCAATTACCTCCCACCAAGCCCCTCCTCCAACACTGGGGATTATAATTCATCATGAGATTTGGGCAGGGACAGAAATCCAAACTATATCATGTGTGAAGCAGAAGAGAATTCTAGCACTGTTCAGGACAACATTCCCCTTGTAAATTGAGCCTCTAGACCATTTCTGCCACAGAAAATTCCTTTTTGGATCAGTTCTCTCCTGAGTTCTGATATCCCATCAGGTGCTTGGGGCTGGTCCTCACATCTCACTCCCTAGAGATCTGCACTCTCCTAGCCTCGGCTCTCACACTGACTGATTGGTGTGGGACTGAGAGTCATAAGAACAGGGAATTCAATTCTGTTCAAGCAGAGCAGTAGGCCCCTTTGTTATAATTGCTCTCTCTCTTTCAAACAATATCAAATCCTTGTCTTTCAGAACCAAAAGCCATTAACCTGTTGCTTAAACAAAATTACCATGCCCTTCTTCTTTATCTCCTCTGACCTCTTAGTTATACCAAGAACCAGCAGAAGCTGTGGAGGTGTAGGTTTTCTTTAAGAGCTTCATAGGAGCCCTTGCCAGCTCTCAAGCAAAACTCAAAATCTAAGAACCTTTGCTTTACTCCCCTTCAAGTATCTCTGTAAGTATAATACTTAAAATTTCATAGAATCAATAGTTTCCTTCCCTTTCCAGAGCAAACTCCAAGACTTGTGCAGGGCTTAGAGGCACTGCTGTGGGGAAGAGATACCACTGGGAATTATTAATGGTGCACCTGTTATGTATGTTTAGCTCTGAAGCCCTGACCTTTTCACTGCATCCCCTATATGAGAAACAAAGGCATGGGGTTAACTCTAATGGTGTCTTCACTTGGAGTTTTACTAAAGTTTGGCTAGATCAGAACTATTAGGGTGGTCTCTATTTGGGAAAGTCCCTGGAACCTGTTTCAAAATTAGGAGATAGGAGAGAACCAAGGGTCTGGAGCTACAGGAATAAGAAAAAGAAGGGAGGGGAAGAAGAGAGAAGTTTAAAGGAGTATTTGTTTGGGAAGATTACAATTGTAGAAGATTATGCCAGTCCTGTGGTGGTAAAAGCAGGACTTCGAGAGATGGTACAAGATTCAGGCTGCATGAAGGAAGCTGAGAGGGAAATACCTCTAATGGAAGTATCTCAACTTTGAAGTGGTGTTGTTTTAATTTTACCCATTTATCTTTGTCTGTAAGTGTGACTAGGAGGGTCCATATGCTTCAATGTTATCATGGCCCATTCTGCAATGGGGCATAGTGTACACCCGCCAGATTCATCTTCCCCACTGCCCAGATAGCGCCAACGTATCAAAAACAAGATAATTGCATAGAGAAAGAGTTTAATACACATACAGCTGGCTAAATGGAAGCTGCAGTTTTATGATTACTCAAATCAGCCTTCCTGAAAATTTGGAGGCTAGGGTTCTTTAAAGATGGCATGGCATGCAGGGGGCTAGGGAATGGGAAATGCTGATTGGCTGGGTCGGGGATGAAGTCATAGGGAGTCAGAGCTGTCCTCTTGCTCTGAGTCAGTTGTTGGGTGGGAGCCCCAAGATCAGACGAGCCAGTTTACTGGTCTAGGTGATGCCAGCTGATTCATCAGAATGCAGAGTCTGAAAAATATCTTGAACACCAATCTTAGGTTTTATAATAGTGATATTATCCATAGGAGCAACTGGGGAGGTAGAAATGTTGTGCCCTCCAGTTGTATGACTCCTAAACCACAGTTTCTATTCTTTTACCTACTTTGTTAGTTTTATAAGGTGATATGGTCCCTGGGCAATGAAGGGGTTTGTTTTGGGAAAGGGCTGTTATCATCTCTGTTTCTAAGTTAAACTATAAACGAAATTCTTCTTGTGGTTACCAGGAATGAACAAGGGCGGTTTGGAGGTTAAAGGCAAGATGGAATTAGTTAGGTCAGGTCTCTTTCACTGTCATAATTTTCTCAGTGCTATAATTTTTGCAAAGGTGGTTTCTGCAGGAAAGAGTCAAGCATGACAATCCTGCTCCTGGGCTGAGGCTTGCTTGTGGTGGTGTTTGCCTGTACTAATGGTCGGAGGGCTCAGCCAGGAACCACCACAGAATTCTTGCCTTTCAAGCTTAAGGTAGAAGAAAGTGGAGTACTCCCTCCCCCGCCTATCTTGTCCACCTATCAGAACTAAGAAACTTCTGTGCACTATGCTCTTTGCTATGTGCTAGGAAAATGAAATAACGGTATTTGTGTGTGTGTGAGATCCAAGCAAAACACTCCATGAAAGCAATATTTCCAAGTGAATACCTATATCAGATGAGCAATCTAGGTCTCCTCCTCTGTAACCTATTATCAGCCTAGAGGAGGTCCCGATGCTCACTGGAATTTTTTTTCTTTTCTTTGAGACAGAGTCTCTCTCTGTCACCAGGTTGGAGTGCAGTGGCTCAGTCTTGGCTCACTACACCTCTCTGACTCCCTGGTTCAAGTGATTCTCCTGCCTCAGCCTCCCACGTAGCTGGGATTACAGGCACGTGCCACCACGGCCAGCTAATTTTGTATTTTTAGTAGAGACAGGGTTTCACCATGTTGGCCAGAATGGTCTTGACCTCGTGATCTGCCCGCCTCTGCCTCCCAAAGTGCTGGGATTACAGGTGTGAGCCACTGCGCCCAGCCTCACTGGAATTTTTAACTTGCTGGTATTCCCGATCTGTGGTAATGTGCGACCCAGTGACCAGGCTCATTCTGAGGTTGACAAATATGTCAGTGAATTTTCTTGTATTTATTTTTTTCAAAGCAATATATGCACCTAGTTTAAAGCCAAATAATATTATAAAAGATTTATAACAAAAATAACATTGCCCTAATATATATCTCTCTCCCCCATCCGTATCCCCAAGTTCTTCCCCTCAGAGGCAAATAACTGCAACTCCTTCCTTCCTTTTTTCCCCTGGTATTTACTCCCATATTTCTAACATGATGCTTACACTGCTATTTCTTGATCTATTGATTTTAGAATTATTAATTGACTGACCAGTCAGACTCCATATATATACTGATGCCACATAACTCAATAGAGGGAGATTTAATATAGGGTATTAGTCAGAAAGTGTTAGAATTGCTGAAAAAGCAAACAGAAATCAGTAGGTTCAGCTCCTGCCTCCCCCAGGGCTGGAGGAACAAAGGAAAAGGAGGTGTTCCAGGGCTACCCAGCAAGAGGGGGACCCTGCAGCCACCTGGCGATTATGTAAATATCACCCACTCTTGAGTCAGTGCTGTAATTACATTTTCTTTCTCATACAACTTTTTTGTTTTTCCTGAAATAACTGCATTTTTTGGTGACTTTCTTAGTTTACTGAATAACCAGCACCAAGTGTTCCTAAACACTCAGTGGTCAGTGCTCTGCTCCACTGGGTCCAGCACATAGAATCATTGGTTCTTTTTTTTTTTTTTCCTGGAGAACCCAGCCTTGGCCCCCTCAGCTCTGCTCCAGCCTGGACCAGTTGCTCTGTGGGCCTGGAGCCCAGCTGTCTTTTTAGGATCTCCTGTCACTGTCCTGCCCACAGTCCTCCATATCTCTCATATCTTGGTTTATTTCCTTATTGCATTGAATCATCTCCTCTGCAGAAGACAAGAAGTACAATTTTTCACACATGGCTGTCTAAAAACACTCTATTCTATCCTTACACTGGATCAAATTCCAGGTTGAAAGTTGTTTTCCCTGCAGTATATTGAGGGCAACACTCTACTTTCTTGTACTCTCCACTGCTGCTTTTGAGAAGTTCAATCCCATTCTCATTTCAGATCCTTTGTAAAATGACCTTTGTTTCTCTGTGGAATCTCAGGATTTTCTTTTTATCTCTGATGTTCTGAAAACTCACAGTAATGTCCTCGGTCTGGTTCTTTTTTTATTCATGATATTGGTCGATGGAGGAATATTTCAATTCAGACCAAGAGTTAGCCAACTTTTCCTGTAAAGGGTAAGATAGTAAACATTTTCGGCTTTGTGGACCATATGGCCCCATCTTAACTTCTCAACTCTACCATTGTAGCAAAGTGGTCATGAACCATATATAAACAAATGAGCATGGTTGTGTTCCAATAAAACTGTATTTACAAAACAGACAGCTGGCTGAATTTGGCCCATGGACCATGGTTGGTTAACCCCTGATCTAGATTCTAGATATTCATGCCCCTCAGTTCAGGGACATTTTCTTGTGTTATTTCTTTGAAAATACTCTCCCTTCCATTTTCTCTATTCTTCTTTTCTGTTGACCCTGAGATTGTTTCTCTAATTTTTTAAATCTGTTATTTCTTTTTTGTCCACATCTGGGTTGTTTTTTGTCTGTTTTGCTTCATAGGAGATTTCTTTCACTATTAAATATTTCTGTAATCCTATTTTTTAAATTTCTAGAATTTTGTTTTTCTCTCATTGTTTTTTTGAAAATGGTAGGCCGCTTTTGTTTTGCAGGTGAAATGTTTTTGTATGTCTGAGAATATTATTGTGGAGGGTTTATTTTTGCATTTTGTTCTGCTCTTGGCAGTATCTCTGTTTCCTCTGAGAACACCTCTCCCCAAACTTTCCCCACGGTTTTTGTTTTGTTTTGTTTGTCCATCTTTTATGTTGGATGCTTACCTCGAACTTCTGCTGATCCTTGGATGTTCATTCATATTTAAAAGTAGGGTAGAAAAAGTGACTGGAGAATAAAAGTTACCAAAAAATAACGGCTACCAAAAATTAGCTCTGATCAGCTTCTACCAGAGCAGCCCTCCCCCAAAAGACGACTATAACCCTGAACTTAAAAATAAAAAATAAAAACCCCAGGAAACTCTCTGAAATTGGTGAAGCATGACCAAAGGTAGACGAATACTGAAGAAGAGTTGACATTTGGAAGCATTAGGTCATTTCTCCTTCTTTCACAGCTTCTATCCTGAGAACAAGTCCCATTCTGCACCAGAGGGTAAAAATTCTAATAGAAATCTGCAGGCTTGCTGGCTTTAAGAATCAGACTATCAACTATTTCACAACAGCAAAAAGAGAGGAAAGGAGAGAGCCAGAGGGAAGCCCCATATTCTGTGCATAAACTCCCACCTGATCTCTGGTTGCCCCTGAGCCACGCATATGTGGGGCAGATGCTAAGCTGCTCAGCTAAGGCTAAAAAATGGAACTGAGATTGCAGCCCCTGCCCACCACAGGGGAGATGGAGTTCGCAGTTTGAGTTCAGACAAGTTAACACTTCCTGATAATTTTAAAATAAACAAACAAATTAAAAAAAAAAAAAAAGAAGAAGCGATGGGAAGCTCTGAATGCCCGGGGCTGACTTACCAACTTCTGAGGTTTAAGAGGGTCCTGTGGTAGGCTGAGGCAGGAGAATCACTTGAACCCAGGAGGCGGAGTCTGCAGTGAGCCGAGATTGTGCCACTGTACTCCAGCCTGGTGAACAAGCGAGACTCCATCTCAAAAAAAAAAAAAAAAAAAAAAAAGGGTCCTGAAACACCAGGGTCTGTGGTCTGTGTTTCCTATTAAGTGTCCCTAAAGAATAGGCCACCTCTGCACTCGGCAGTATGTTTCCTCTGTGAATACCTTTCCCCAAACTTCCCCCATTGTTTTTGTTTGTTTTGCTTCTCCGACTTTTATGTTGAATGCTTACTTCAAGTTAGTGCTGACCCTCGGTTGTTCATTCATATTTAAAAATAACGTGGGAAAAAGCGACTGGAGAATAAAAGTTATCAAAACATAATGTTACCAAAAATTAGCTCTGATCAGCTTCTATCAGACCAGTCCACCCCCAAAAGACAACTATAACCCTGAACTTAATTAAAAAAAAAAAAAAACAGCCGGGTGCAGTGGCTCACGCCTATAATCCCAGCACTTTGGGAAGCTGAGGCGGGTGGATCACAAGGTCAGGAGATCGAGACCATCCTGGCTAACATGGTGAAACCCCGACTCTACTAAAAATACAAAAATTAGCCAGGCGTGGTGGCAGGAGCCTGTAGTCCCAGCTACTCAGGAGGCTGAGGCAGGAGAATGGTGTGAACCCGGGAGGTGGAGCCTGCAGTGAGCCAAGAGCGGGCCACTGCACTCCAGCCTGGGCGACAGAGCGAGACTCCGTCTCAAAAATAAATAAATAAATAAATAAGAACAACAAACAAACAATAAAAACCCCACAAAACTTTCTGAAATTAGTAAAGACTGACCAAAGGCTGTCAGCATTTGGAGGGCAGAGCAGAGTAGGTGGAGGCCCCCACATTCAGAATCCCTACACTCAACCTATGTGATAGTTGCACTGTCTCTGTATAGGATGTCCTTTTGTCCTGAGCCTAGCCTCTTCAGGTTCAATTCTAAACAGAGAAGTTGAGAGTGTCAGAGGGGAGGGGGTCTACTTATCTTCAAGTTCAATTCTAAATAGAGAAGTTGAGAATGAGGGGCCTAGTTATCACCTCCGCAGGGGTGGAGTGAATCTGGGGTTCTAATTGAACCTAGACGGATTTCCAACCAACCCCCTGGCTTCAGCCTATGCGGCAGGCCTGCCTGCTACACCGCAGGGGCCATTGGCTTGCTTCTCATCCGCACTCTTCTTCCTGGGCACTGAAGTCATCGCTTTCCCCTCCCTGGTGAGTGGTGGCTCCTTCATCTACTTTCCATCCTTCAACAATGCGTCGACCTCTTTCATAGTTTCCCACATTAACATTTTATTCCTTGGCCATCATTTTAGTGAGGTAAGAAGAGTGGACTGTAGAGGTTTAACTGCTGTATTTAACTGGAAGTAACTATGATTTTGGAAAGTGCCTGGCCTCTTGGCACAGTACAACTATGGCATCAGGCTGCCCAAGAGAGAACATCAGGTACCTAGGAAGAGACTGGCGCTGTCAAGCTCAGCAAATGACTGCCCTGGAAAGACAGTCATGAACCAAGAGAGATTTACAGAGTCACCTTCGGTTGTCCAGAGCTATCCTTTATTTTTATTTGAAAAGGGTAAGCGAGGGCCAGCGTTTTCAGCTCTCAAGAGTCTGATCTGGAGGAAAAGGAAATGGAAACACAACCAGTTCCCTGGCAGGTCATCGATTCATAAACACCGAGGGTGTTTTCCTGTGCTAGTTGAACCTGCCCTGCCTACCTGGCTCTCTGTGATTTATGCTGTGGCCTCTCCCAGGTGACAGCTGCCTCACTGTCCTCCTAGAGGCATCTGGCTGCTTTCAGACTCCGTTTGAAGAAAGACAAAATGGCGTTTTTCACAGAACACTAGGGGCCACGTTGGGTCCAAGTTTTTTCCCCAATTAAATGACTAGAAAGGAAAGCCAGGCAGCCTCCCTCCCATCTGTACTTTTGGCTCTTTTCACATATCCAGAACATAAATGGAGCCAGACATGCCTCACAGGTGTAGAAAGATACAGAGATTTCCCAGGTGCTCAGAAAAAAATGTTTTAATACAAAAATGAATGAGAGGAGGTTACGTACCTGATCAAGTCCATATAGCTAGTAAATGAGGAAGGGGAATTTGAAGCCAGGGTTGTTTGATTCCCAAGTTGAAATCTGAACCACAGTGCTGTGTAGACAGGGGCCAGGCCCAGGGAGAACGATCCCCCTACTTGAGCTACTGAAGACCTGCAGCCTTGACTCACACCTGACCCCATCCCAGCTTGAATCTGCTCAGCTGAGCCACCTCTCTGCTTCCTTAGGTAGCCAATTGTGTGGAGTTTTTCTACAGACTGAGCAGACCAGCTGTAGCAAATCGATACTATTGGATCAAGAGCTGCCACCTTCCATTTAGGGGAAGGCTGCATTTCAGCAGTGAAATAAACCAATCCCTTCTGTAGTTACTTTAGACAGCCCTCCTGGGACAAGAAGGCAGCATCACCTGCCCAGATTAAGGAGCTTCACCCAGCAGGAGACAGGGAGGGCATCTGCCAGCAAGTCTCAGGAGGGCTCTCTGGGACACTTTCTGGTAGGAATAGACACTTAAACTGCAGGCCCCTGAAGGGTGGACAAACACTATAGGTGCTCCAACCTCTGTGCCCACAGCTCATGCTGATCAACAAACCATTCTACTGGCCTGCCTTTCCCCTGTAGGGACAGCTCTCATTGTATCCTCATTTAGGGGCCAGAGATAATCTATCAGAGATAACTCCATCTTTGTTTTTTTTCTGGTATTAAGCAGAAAACCAGCCAGTCCAAAGCAACCCAGCAGCTCTAGGAAGCTTTTGGATGTGGAAAGAAAAGTATCAGATAAAAACAACAGCATCCCTGTCAAAGGACAGGCTGGAAATGGGCTTCTCTTCAGCATAAAGAAAGATTAGTTGACCTATCTTGCCTTTCTCCTTTTACACTCTTTCTCCTGCTCACAGGCCATGCCTGTCTGCTCAAGGGGAAAAAAAAATTTATTTATTGTTAATCCCTCATGGTGGGGGATTATCCGTCTGCCATTCCAGGTGTCTGAAAAACCTGAATCTCATATCAAAAAAGACCCCAATCTCAAGGATCAAATGGATCATGCAGTATAGAGATAAAATAGGATTTATGGAGGGAAACTTACAAGCAGAGAGGCAGTTGAGCACATGTAAGCTCTGGACCTCTCATCATCCCAGAGCTCAGGCCACACACAGATATACCCTGTGCTCCACAGCAAGGTTCCCATCGAAGAAGGCTCACCCTTGGAACTCTCCACGTGTTTACAGAGGCAGGCAACAGCGTTGTCACTATAGAACAGTAGGAGCTTCCTTGTGGCTCAGGTAGCCTTGCTGGGGATGGGGCCTTCAAATCCCAGTGGCCTATTCACCTGTTAAACTGACTCAGAATGATGAGCCAGTGCTCTGCAAAGTTGCCAGAAGCCAGACAGAATGAGCTCTGAGATCATCAAGACTGTAGGGATGTGCACAGGCTCCAAACAAAGCATTAACCAAAAGATTAAAATGCTCTTCTTTTTCAAAATCAAGAGACAAGAGAGTCCCTCTCAGCTGTACTAAGGGAGAAACCTGCAGCTTCCCTCGCTCCCCATCTCTATTCTCTTTCCCTGCTTTCAGCAGCCTTGCTCATCCCCAATCCCATCCCACCTCCCTCCTGGAAATGAAACTGATAAATCATTAATATCTATTAATTAGCTATGATATCTAACCTTTTTAGATTTTTGTAGAGATGGGATCTAGCTATGTTGCCCAGGCTGGTCTCAAACCCCTGACCCCAAGCTATCCTCCCACCTTGGTCTCCTGAAGTGCTGGGATTACAAGCACAAGCCACCACGCCTGTGTAGCACTTTACTACTCATAGGATACCTTTGTGTCCCGTTCTAATTTTATATGCACAATGGTTATTTAACGCACACCTAGCAGGTACCAAACACTGCTCTAAGTGGTTGGGAGCCCCTAGCTTAATAATATGTATGTGTCACTCAGATTCCTGCTATCTGTATGTCCCAAATTCTCTAGCTTTGCCAGATTACCCTTCCCTTCAATTTGAAAAATAAGATGAATTGAGCATCTCTCCCTCATTCCATTAAATGCAAAGGCTTCTATGTATTTCTGAAAGGCTTTTGTTCTCATGGTCATCCCTCTATCTGGTTTTCCCTCCCAACTAAACTCTCAAATAATCCCCTCTGAGAGTTTCCTGCAGAAGCTACTCTCCAAGTCAGTGTTCCTTCATTACTCCTACCCCACCTCCCCCAAGATGTTGGGCAACAGTTTCCCATTAGAATAAACTCCAAGTAATTGTCCACATTTTTATTTAGGACAAAGTTTCACCTCATTGAATACTGCCTGATAAAAACAGGCCATTGAGAATCACTGAAATGTGGAGATTTCCATGGCATTTGCTATATGGGATTGCACACATGTTTGAAAATTTCCATTGGCTTCAAATTGAATTTCTTTCTCCGACCTTCTAGAAAGTGAGATGCAATTGCCCCAAAACATCATCACAATTTTTAATAATATGGAGTCATTCACTTCCTCCCCTAAAATAAATTACTTCCCTTAGGGTTCCAGGAAAATCTAGTAAATACATAAATGTCCCTGACATGCACAATATTGGGAAAATTTACTGACTTCATGATGCACAATAGGATCTCCAGAAGTAGCCAATAAAATGTCTCAAGCTTACCTCAAAGTAGTACATTATGTACCCCAAATATATATATGCCAAGTTCTTCTCTATATTTTTGTAATACCCACCCAGTTCAGCATTTCTCCAATTTCCAACACATTTTATTAAAATCCATAGCCATGTTATAAAAAGAGATAGAATAAGTCTCCAGATGCAGTTTATGCCTTGATCTAAAAGAACTGTCTTCCAGGAATAGTACAGTAGTCTCTCCCCGTATCCAAAGGATATCTTCCAAGGCCCCCAGTGGATTCCTGAAACCGCAAATAGCACCAAACCCCATATATACTAACTTTTTCCTACACCTACATACCTATGATGAAGTTTAATTTGCAAATTAGGCACAGTAAAGAATGAACAACAACAATAATAAAATAGAACAATTCTAACAATATATTGTAGTAAAAGTTATGTGAATGTGGTCTCTCTTTCTCAAAACATCTTATTTACTGTACCATGGGTAACTGGAACTATGGAAAGCAAAACCTCAGAAAAGGGGGACTACTGTATCTGATGTTGTTATTTGAGTTTTTGTTCTCTTCTGAGAATCTGTTGCCTACAGAAGTCCTCAGATGGCTACAGGCATCCCTAATGTCTTGGATATCAAAGCTATGTATCCTCCCCATCACACATACATGTATACAAGACACACACACACACTCCCCAAAATTGTTGAGCAAATGCCAAGTTCACAGCAATTCTAAGAATCAAAGTTTTGAGAGTCTGCTTCTTTCCACCCACAACTGAGTCTATAAAATGCTCTAAGGAATCTAAAGGGCAATTATAAAAAGTCATTGGGGCAGAGAATTGCTTACTCCAAGAGCATCCCTGGAACAGAAATAAAAGGGAAGGGAATAAAGCCAAAGGATGTGCAAAATATCTACTCACTGCAAGGCATGCTCCTCAAGCTTGGTACTTAGTATAATTTACCTCAATTAAGTGTGAGCAGCTCACCTTGTAAGATTCCCCAGCCCATGTCACCTGGCTTTGAGACTGTCAGCTATCTCTGGGTTTAGTCACATCAAGAATCTGTTCATTGGAATAATCAGGTAGTGATGGCTGACAGCACGAGAGCAATTTCTGGTGCGTGAGCCTGTGTGCATGGGATGCCTTCAAATCCATTTCATTTGGGCAGCTGCTTATCAAGACTTTTCCCCAGAAACCGATTTAGTCTAATGATTGTGAGTAGCAATGACTTCTGCTTAATTAGTGTGGTAATCAGTGCAAATTCTCCCTAAATGGTAGAGACCCATTTGGCAGATGCCAAGTGACGCTTAACCAGGTGCTAAATAGGTGTGAAAGCCTCAGTTCTGGTCTGTCCCAGCTAGTTGCCAAATACATAATGACGAAATGGGGTCCTAAGTATGCTTGGATGGATGAGGTGTTTAAAACTTCCCTCTAATTGCTGGCAAGGCCCACCCCCTGCCCCAGTGAGTCCTGCGAAGGCAGAGACAGCACTAGGAACAGAGCTGAGAGGAGCAGAGCAAAAGTAAAATCAATAATATTTTGGAGTTTCCTCCCAATTCCCAATCATCCCATTTCCCAGCCCCTACTCAGCATTCCCTTCCTGTTTATGTGTCCTGACTTCTGCCTCTGAATTCAAAACTGGAGCTGTTTTTCATGCACTAAACAAGTAAGGTCAGGGCTATTGTCCCAGCTTGTGCACTGCCCTATAATCCATTTTGATGGGAAGTGAGACTGTGGCCCTAGACCAAAAGAGAGAGTGAAGGTAAACATTAAAGAAAAAAGACATTCCATATTTAATAAGAAGTGTATGTGTAATTGACCTAATTAATTCTCCTTTCATTATTAGAAAAAAATAATAAACTTGTACTGAGTGCTAGTTACAGGCCAGTTAATGTCCATGAGTTATACTATTTAATTCTTCCTGACACCCAGTCTACCCCAGGTTAAGCTGATCTATGCATGGCAGTGTGATGCTGGCTATTGACCCATAGATGGGCACGTGTCTTAAGATGATCCAAATGTATGGGAGGGAAGTGTCTATATTCAACTGCTGGGGAAGAGGTTTTTCTCTCTCCTGCGCTAGACATGAGGAAGAAAGCATGTTGCCCTAGCTGCTGTTAATGACTTTCTTGTAAATACAAAGGGAACCAGCCTGACAAAAACGCTGGAAATCAGAAGAGGACACAGCCAAGAGAACTGCAGAGAACTAAAGCTTGAGCCCCAGTTATATTCTGCCTGGAGTTCACTTTACCTCTGGACTTCCCCCTATGTGAGCAAATAAATTCCTACATTGTTTAAGTCTATTTGAGTTGACTTTTCTGTTATTTGCTACTGAAAGCATCCTAATTAACCCTACAACACTCTGGGGAAGGAATTGTAATAACCATTTTGTAGCTGAAAGATCTGCAGCACAGTGGGGTTAAATAACTTGGCCAAGGAACTGGCTGTGTCAGAGTTCAAACCCAGGACTGCCTGGGGTCTGTGTTGTCCACACTGTCCCCCTGGGAGCAAGTGAGCCTGAGCAAACCCTCGAAAGTGGCAAAGCTTTGTCCTTTAACAATTACTTTTTTTTTTGTTTTTGTTTTTAACAAGTAAGTGACTTGGAGCCAAGTTTGGAATATCAGATGAGTGGTTAGGCTGAGAAATGGCATGTTTGGCTACAGTCAGGAGACCTCTTCCCATATGGATGAAGGCAGTCCTGAAGGAAGAGTCCTCATAATTATAAATTTTAGTAGTGGCAACATTGTCAGAACAAGGCCAAAGTCTCCCAAGGTAACAGCTTTGAAGGACCCTGTTCTTTAGATGCACATATTCTAGTATGTTTAAGAAAACACAAAGTCTTGATTATCACAGTCACATCTCACACACATTCAAGTCCCAGGCGTGGATCTCTGGAAACATCTCTTGCTCCTCTCTTTCTCTCTAGCTATACTCAAACACAAAGTCCTGAACATTCTTATTCCCTCATTATGTATTCGGAGTTCACCTTTTCCTTTCCATTCATCTTGACTTTCACTACAAACTCTTTTCTCATTTTTCTCCTCACACCACAGTTACTACTGCACTGTTTGCCCTATTGCAAACTGTTTGCCCTCCAGACTCTCTCTGCTATGATGTCCTCACCCTTGCCAAACAACTTTCATTATGCCTACCTCTATAGAGACTCAGAAGCCTGCAGTGTAGCATTGTGGAAAAAAGGCAGGCTTTGTTGGACAGGCATGAAGCCAAATCATGGCTCTGCTATTGATTAGCTGTGTGATTTTGCACAAATTACTTAGTCCTCTTGAGTGTCAGTTTTCTCATCTTTAAAAGGAAGTATCAACAAGTACCCTATTGGATTGTTACAGGATTATAGTGGGCAATGAATATGTGCTGACTTAAAGAGTGATTCAATGAGAAAGCACATTAAATACCTACTGTAGGACCAGGTAAATATTAGACCTTTACCAATGGCACCAGTCATTATTACTGTTGTGTTCTTCATATTTAATTACTATCCAATATATGGTAGCTGTCACCAGAGATCTAACCTCCTAGTTTGGCATTCAAGCTTTTACTGGATTTCTGGGCTTATGTTTCCATCCTCTCTTACATCAACACTTCAATCATACTCTTCTCTTTGTCGTCTTCTAAATATGACTCGTCTATTTCTCAGCTCTAAACACCAGTTCTTTTTGCTACCTCTGCCTGGTACATTCTTCCCATGCCCTTTCACTTATCTAAATATGATCCCTTATTTAAGGGCTTTAAATTACTCTGTCTTCTCTCTAAATAATCTCTGACTATGCCAGACCACAGCACTATCTCTGTCCATTAATCTTTTTCTCTATACCAAGCATCTACCAATTAGCCTAGGTGGATCTTCCCAGCTTGAGTAAAACTGCTTGAGGGTGTGGACCTCACCCTATACCCTGCCTTTTTGTTTTCACCTTGGCTTGAGTGCTGTGGCACAATCATGGCTTAATGCAGCCTCGAACTCCTGGTACAAGCAATCCTTCCACCTCAGCCTCCTGAGCAGCTAGGACTACAGTCATGGACCACCACACTCAACAATTTTTTTTGTTTTTGTAGAGGTGGAGTCTTGCTAAATTGCCCAGGTTGGTCTCAAACTCCTAGGCTCAAGAGATCCTCTGCCTCAGCTACCCAAAGTACTGGGATTACAGGCATGAACCACCCCACCTGGCTTCCTATACCCCTTTGATTCCCTAGTCCTTACCAAAGTTCCCAGCACATATAAACGCAATGAATTCTAAACCATTATTGCTATTGTTATAATTTAGTTAGGCCTCAACAATTTTTTTAAAAATTATCTTACACCAATAAGTGTCCGTCAAGCAAAAACCTTCTAACCCTGATTTTTGAGGTTCCAGGTATAGGTGGACATTTCTGTAGCTAGAAATATGATTAATTAAAGTAGAGCTTGAGAGAATATGTGGCCATAGAAGCTGTTTTGGCCTTTACTGATTCCAACTTCACATACCTGAAGATAGATAGATTGCTTTTTTATTTTTTAATGTAATTTAGGGTCATTTATAGATGACAGCCTTAGAACCTTTGATTGGATCAGTAGTAGCCGAGCCAGCTTCTCTGTTTATTGATCACAAATCAGCATGGAATAAATCCGTTGAGTTTCCACCCCAGAGAAAGAACTACAGGAAGTATTAGTTAATAAAGTTGAAAAGACTTTGTCAACTGTCAAATAGCAGCTCATGGATGAGTATTACAATGGTCATCACCATTGCTATCACCCCCGATAATAATTAGATTACAAGGAATCTCTTAAGGGCAGTGGATGGTCTTATGCTTCTTGGAATATCCCCTACCACATTCTATGGTTTGAATGTCCCCTCCAAAACTCATGTTGGAACATGATTGTCATTGTGACAATATTAAGAGATGGGACCATGGAGAGGGATTAGGCCATTAAGGCTCTACTTTCCTGAGTGGATTAATGTTGTTATGGTGAGAGTGGGTTGTTATCAAAGCAAATTTGGCTGTCTCTTGGTCTCTTTTCCTTCAGCCTTCTGCAATAAGAAGATGTAGCAAAAAGGCCCTGGCCAAATGTGGGGCCCTTGACCTTAGACTTCTTAGCCTCCAGAACAGTAAGAAATAAATTTATTTCATTACCCAATTTGTGATATTCTGTCATAGCAACATAAAATATACTAAGACATCATCTAAACTGGGTTCATTCAAAGACAGTTCAGTGTTGGTGGTATAGTGGCAAGCATAACTGCCTTCCAAAGACAGCTCAGATCCTAGCACTTCTTTCATGGCAACTAACTAAAAAAACTTTGAACAAAGTTTTGCTTATTAATAACATTCCTTTAGAGAAGAAATAGAAGAGCTTAGGTATGAGTGAATAAATGTCTGTGTCTGTGATAAATGGCCCAAATTTCTCTCGAAATAGCTGGAAGGGAACCCCACCTTCTGACGGTGTCATTAACAAGCTGTGTGCTTTCATTGTCTCCATACTCAGAGCTCCCCACTGTGAGTCGGAATCTGTGATCTGGGACCAGCTGCTCTGCCAAGCACAGATTTTAATGAGGGACTCTGCAATGGGAAACCATAGCTGCCACTACTTTTTACATTACTAGGGGCTGCTGATTGGCACCAAGGAGGTTTGCCAAGGTCTTTGGGTGTGTGGAAGGAGCAGTGAGCTGTGTGCCGATAGAATTGTTGACAGTCAGTAAGAGCACGCTACACAAACAGCTCCAGGCCACATGAAGCTTGCAAAATTAAACTTATTTGGATAGAAAATACAAAATCAAACTTAATTTCATTCAGCTGCATGTCATTGCATTTCAGGCAGATAAGAGTTTGTTTTTTCATGTAAACCTGTCTTCCCCCAAACCTAAATTTCTCCTTGACCTACCCACCCACCCACCCACACACTACCCAACATAAACCTGGTATAGAAGTACTTTATAGCTTTTATTATGGTTTATAATTATACATTTATGTAATCATTTCATTAATAACTACTTTTCATACTATTGTGTTCACAATATACAATGGAAAGCAGATATTTTTCTTTTTGTTTTTCTCTTTTTTTTTTTTTGCAGGGGGAGGAAGTTTTGCTTTTGTCGCCCAGGCTGGAGTGCAATGGCATGATCTCGGCTCACTACAACCTCTGCCTCCCAGGTTCAAGCAATTCTCCTGCCTCAGCCTCCCAAGTAGCTGGGATTACAGGCGCCCGCCACCACGGCTGGCTAATTTTTGTATTTTTAGTAGAGACGGGGTTTCACTATGTTGGCCAGGATGGTCTCGAACTCCTGACCTCAGGTGATCCACCCGCCTCAGCCTGCCAAAGTGCTGGGATTACCGGCGTGAGCCACCGCATCCAGCCAAAGTAGATGCTTTTCTAAATATTTGTTGACTAAACAACCATCCTCCATGTGGGATGGAAGGTGATACTACAGTAGAAAGTGGTAAATTAGCCGGGTCCTGGATTTGGAGTCAGAAATTCTGGATTTAAATCCCAACTCGGCACGTTACTTATGAGTTGTATGGTCCTGGGGAAATCACTTAAATGCGAGACATCTCAGTTTCTTTACCTGTAAATGAGAATAATGAAGGTAGTTTTTAGAATTCAGTTCTCACAGGGTGGCTTTGAGAACTCAGTAAGATAATATTGTCTTGGGTCAGGTTCCCCAGAAACAGGGTCTAAGACGGGGATTCAGGGACAAGTGATTTACTAAGCAATGCTTTCAGGGGAAACAGGCAAGGAAGTGGGGAAAGTAGAACGGGCAGAAAAACAAGCCAAACAAAGGCACAATTTCAGGCCAAGCCCCATGGAGAGTTACCTCCACCTGCACCCGCAGGGAAATTCTGGGATATAAATTATACCTGAGTTTGTCCCAGCTCCACACCTGTCAGCCATTGGCTAAGGGCTGTCTTGAAGACCACAAATTTCCACGTGTTGACAACTTTGTGTGTTTGAGCAGAGGGGCTCCAGTGACTGGGGGCAGTCTTCCAGAGGAGGCAGGGGCAGGCTGATGGAAGCCAAAGAACTCCAAAGGTGAAATCCACAGTTTTAGTAAAAAGGAGTCAAGAGTGGGTCTGTGCCTGGCACACAGTAGGTGCTGGATTTGAATCTGCCAGTGGGCCAAAGGTGCACCATGCATTTCGGGCAGCAAGACAGAAGAGCCTATGCAACTAAATATACAGAAGCCTCAAAAGTTTTCTGAATTATTGGCTTTGTCCAAAAGCTGAGTGTTCAATGCCCTGGACAGAGCCTTGAAGCAGCTTCTTGGGAAATGATCAATATTTTCATCCTCATTGCTAGTCAGACTGTGGGTAAGAAACCAAGGTGAAGCTGACATTAAAATAATGAACAGGAAGTAATTCAGGGAAGATAAACTCAATTCTTCTTGAACCTTGGGAGATTTTTGGCAGAAGATGGAAAGGGGTCAGGAATGGGTTCGAGCCACATTAATAGACAAATCCCCAGGAGTTGAATCCTGGAATAAGTTTCATAAATCGCCAGTAAAGATATGTTACCACACCCTGAGGCCAAACCAGCTTCGACCAACATCTACAAAGGGAGCATCAGGAAGCCCCCAGTGAACATCTCATTAGATAGTCAGGGGCTTTGCATAGGGCATTTAACCTTTAGTGGATGGGAGGGGCTAAAACTCCAAAACTGAGAGAAGCTTAGATGTAACTTATTATGTCATCAATCTCTAAAATCAGGACGTCCCAATAACTGGGGACCTTTCCACTTTATCTCCCATGGGGCATTAAATTTGGGAATTTAGTGGGTTGATGAAAATTTGACTCCCACTGTGTGATTGATGGCTCTCAAAGCACTTTAGTTGTTTCTTCTGCCAGGTAAAGAGAAAACAACACCCAAAATAGTTGTCCTGGGGAAGAAGAAAGATGAAAAAGCTGCAAACAGAACCCTGAGGCTCCACTTACAGCCCCCTACCCCCACCCCATTTTAATTCCAACGAATATTGGTTGAGCTGTCAGCCCAGGCGGGACTCCTTGTTACCTGCAGGGGGCAAATGAAAGTGAGTGAGGTGGCCCCAGCACTCATCCTGCAGTGGCTTGATCTCAGCAAGTTCCTCTTAGGTAAGTGTGCTGATATTGAAGGCAAAGGTGATGACTATTTCAAGAATCAAGGGTGGCTCTGAGAGACAAGTCCCAGAGCTGTGGGGGAGGTTGAGGATAAAGAAAGCCAGATGGGTCTTGGGTAGGGGCAGAAGTCAGGGACGGTGATGAAACAGAATTGGCACAGACTGCTTGGAAGAAGCTATTTATCTCCCTCTCAGCATTCTTATCTTCAACCACCAAAAGAAACATCTGCCCGAAAAGAAACATCCCCTCACTCAGTGCTTCCCGAGGCAGGAGACAAGGTGAGTCTTACCTAAGGGGCAAAA